CATCGTATGGGATCTATCTACGGCTTAATTCTGCCCAAATCAGCCGTAATTCGTGCGATCCTATTTTGTTAGAGCTCGCACCGAAAACCCGCACATTAAAGTTAACTTACTGTCTGGTTTGGTACTTGTTTCTTCTGTGCTTTTCTAGCCGGCAGATAAATGTCGGTCCAAGGGCGTAGACCGACCTGGCCGTCAAACTTGACTTGTTTTCACTTCTCTAAAGCAAGTTGAGTGTACGTGAACTCTGTGCTCTATATCAAACGCACCACTCCCACAGCCCGTTACTATGGTAGAGGGCCATTACAGACGGCAAAGCAACTCGATCATCAGGCTCGAAGAACGGTCTACGACTCGTCGATCAACAGAAGCGGGATGAAGCCACTCACCGACTTGGAAGACGAAATTCAACTTTCCTAGGGGTTCACTACTTGGTTCAACAATAGCTTACGTCACAAGCCACCGAATGTTGTACGTCGTCCATGGCTACTGATAGCACGACGGGGACACTTAAACCGTCCGTCGCCTAAAACCGTTCCTGTGAGGCCACATTGGGGCGGGCAAGGTTGTGAAATACCAAGCTGGTCAGTCAAGGATAAAGTGGAAGCAAGAGATGAACTCACCCGCCGGCGACAAGCGGGCAGAACTGCGAGACTCTCCAATAATATCCCGGTGAATGTCCGACCGACTGCTTGCGGCAGCGGGGGAGGCTGCACGGAATAGCGAGACACGGGTAAACCCCGTTGTTGGAGGCAGAGCTTGCTCTGTCGTTAGAGATGCTGATGGATCTTTCGCTTTGATATTTTGATGGTGTATGTGTGGTCTGGACGTTACCGTGGTGGCAACATCACAGGGCTCAAGACCCAGGAGGAAAGTGGAACCGTGTACACGTCTTAAAGGACGCTTTTTGCCATCCTCGGTTCGATGAGACCAGAATAGGGGTTAGCTCAGAAAAGATCGTCGCTCTCTTCTGAAAAGTTATGGCTCTAGGAGCACGATGAACCTTGTGAGCCTTACTATCTGAGGATCTTGGTGATCCGCTGAAGAGTAAGTTCGGTTGCAATATTCACACTGTTATCGAAGTTGACGGACCATGAAGATTCCTTGGGCACGTGTTGAGATGGAGGCACAACTCGGCCGTTTCAGCGTATGTCACAAAACGAAATGCATAGTGATAGACATAGTGAAGCGCCACCATATGATAAGGGATGCTGCGTGACGCAGAATATCACGCAGTTCGCCTCTGGCCAAGATCCTATCTGTCAACGAATTTCGCGTTGAGCCTGTATTCAACAAATGCGCACAAGCTACTTGTATCATTTAGGCGCGGCATGGGCGACCACCAGAGCTGCTCCCTGGCTGGAGCGACACGTAGGTTGCGCAGGCAGGGTATTGAAAAGGATGCCTGGCCTTGATAGTCGGAATGGCCCTTCTCGCTTCCAGACATGTCTCATGGTAGATCGACTCTTTCACGCGTCACCAGGCCAATTTCTGTTCGTCCGGGCAAAGGTGAGAGTTCACCTTTAAGACGCTGATATGCTACACAATACGCATTTACAGTGATACAGGACATCTGTGCCTGTGCTAGGGCGAGCCAACTGCGTAGGATTTGTCGATCACAACGATCGGCCATGATCAGAATCTTCGGATTATGTGGAAACTCCTTGAGAAAGGGCTCAAGCACAAGATTAATGTGTCAAAGGCTTACGTACGCGAGGCAAACGTTGGCAATGAGCCATAGACGCTGGAGTCACGTTACGTCTGGGATGTACAATCAACTTACTCCCTTACTGAAAAGCTCTCACTTCTATGCAGTTCCCGCCCGAATAGCGTGGTACGACTAGAGCCAGTCCGAATACTAGCTTTGTGCAGCTATCTGTTTCGAATTCTATATGTGCGACTTCTCTACAAGGGAGATTTATAATCTTCCGTGCTCCAGCGTGTATTTAGGTAGGCTCATACAGTCCTCCTCGCCACGGTTTGGAAACTAGAAAAGTCCTAGAGGCCTTCTCTTTCATTCCTGTGGCGATTTGATTCCGCTAGAGATTTGGTAAAGCAGGTCTGGTTGCTCTCACCGAGTTTCGGTGCGGGAAGCGAGTCAATGTACACGAAACCCTAGCTACTGTTCATCGTAGCCCTCTCGTGTCTAGCCCAGGTGACTGTCCGAACCCAACTAGGGGCTTCCGGTTCTCTTCTCGCAGTACGGAATCGGGAAGGGAAGCAAGCGAGCCACTGGCGAAGCGGAACATGTGCTTGCTTGGGAATGAGGATGCACGGAGGCACAATCATCCGCCCGTACCCCATGCACACTGGAACAAAGGCAGATGTGTCCGAGATTGTAGAGGGGGAGCAATGCTTGATGATCCACGTTATTACAACAGCGATCAGCGTCCAGGGCGCACGAACATTTGACTATGAGCTTTATGTTGATGGGAAGGCCTTTCTCAAAACTGCTGGCAAGATACCTGTTTACTCACAAAGCTCAATACCATTCACGAGATTCCTGCCCTGCGTAGTGAAGGCACCGAACCAGTAAAAAACGAATCCATTCTTAGTGGCTAAATTTATGGCTACGCCCAGGATCACGGCCAGTACTGGTCCAAATATCTGTCTGGTGCTCGCAACGGCCCCACCAGCGGTAGAGAGGAGCTAACCTTAGACCTTTCCGTCTCGAGCCTTTTTCAAGTCGACTACGGACGCTTGTACATCGACGAATCCGAGAGTCTGTTCGTCGGGACAGCTTGTCCCAAGTCCAAGAGCTTTCTGTAGTTCGGCAACTGCTGGGAGGTTGAAGGGGGCACCCCCGTGGAAGCCGTACTTTTGATCCGCGCTAAACTTCGTCCGACTAACTTCTCTAGAGTGACCGTTCAAGATCGTCTTCAGGGCAATCGAGCTCAAGCCTTCGCGAAGAAGTATAGTCTCGTCGAAGGAGATAGTACTGTATATGTCTCTGTCGCCTGATTGTTGCTCGTCTAGCTGGCGATGATATTTCGCCACGTCCTTGGACAGATTGCCGTCGAAAAGAACTACCTGTATGGAAAACTCAGAACCACCGCCTTTGACGTCTTTCAAACGCTTTTTGATCAATTCTACTTCCTTGAGTTCCAGGGGGGAAGCCGTGAGCAAGATGATGTTGGTAGGATGCGACGCCTCGTCGTTAGACAACCGCGACTGCAATGCGATGGACCGCTCAATGGTGAAGCGAATGCTATTCCGGAGTTTCAGCTGAGCCCGCGCTTCCTCGGTAGCCGTGTCGTAGACAGCGACGAGCTTCTTCTGTGTCAGATCTCTGGCCCTCCAGCCTTCCCAAAACCCGATCTTTTCCTCGCGAACGTGGTTTAGTAGCCGGCTGTGCATTTCGCTATCCGACATACGCTCCATGGTCGGCTTCTTCTTCTCATCATTGACGAGGTTCGACATCCACGCCTGAATTCTCATTTCTTGGAGAGTCTGTGAGTCTTTCACGATTGCTACGGCATGGTCCCAGCTCGGAGTCTTGAAAAGCTGTTCCAGCGCCTGTGTTATCTTGAGTTTCGCCTCGGAGACGTGGACGCCGTCGCTGTTGCTATAGGTGGTGAAGAAGAAGCTCATGTCGCACTCGTATGCTTCCGCCAAGAGCCTGAGGAATGCACCAAGAAATTTTATGCAACGCCGGGCTTCAGCGTTCTGTCTGAAATTCTCGTCCATATACACCTGGTATCCTTTCTCCTGGAGCGGCCGGAAAGCGTTCTTCATGTTGGCTTCTTGGGCGAGGCGGATGATACCAGCCTTCGATCTGTCTGGATCCGGGTATTCGGGCAAAGCCTCGTCTGGCGGGAAAAAGAGGGGAGCTTGACTGCCGCCATGGGTATCCCTCACGGGGCACGAAGCATCCCCGACTGGGACAGGGCCAAAGTCCAGCTCATGATCACGGCGTGGTTGTGACTTCGAGAGACAGGAGCCCATTGCGATGAGAGCTAGTAAGGTGATTTACAGACCAGGACAAAGAGAGTGGGTGAAGACGATTGCAAGAGGAATTTCCTGTACGATGAGGACGGGCACGTCTGGTGTTCTATATAGTAGTCTCTGGAATGCGATGGTGGAACTGCTATGCAGTCCTGATCAAACATCCGGGCCTGACCAAGGCAGAGGTAACGCGAATTCTCGCCTTGCCGAGGCGAAGAGAAAACGCCTCATAGGCTGACTCAAGAACAGACGACGCGACACTGGGCGATCTCGAAGGAGGCGAATAGCAGGAGACATACACCGCCCCGGTGTCTCCCTGGCCAGCTTCGCACCGCCTCACGATGTGACCACACGAAGTACCGTACATGATTGCCCATCTACTGTCTCCGGGTACGGACGTCTTGCAGAGTGTACAGCGACGGCCGTGGGTGAGAGCTCTACGACACAGACAGGAGCGGAGGCTTCCGTCCACGACCCTTGGTCTGGCTAGACGGCCCACGCACACAGGTGGAAAACCATGTTGGCCGAGTTTTGTGACTTCCCTTGCACCAGGGAGTAGCCATCAATGATAATCACCGCGTGGCACAGACAACTTGCAGGGACCGAGAGTACAGCGGGCGTTCCCTGCCCGTCCCGCAGTTCATCTCAATCCATCGGAATCTCGTCACGGATCCCAAAACCTGGCCAGAGCTGGAGGAGTGTACATTACCCAACAACGAATATCCCCATAGACCGTGGTACTGGGAAGGCCTATTCAGGCCCCGATGGGGTGCACGTCGCCTGAAGCATCAACAGCAAGAAGTAGATTACGGAGCACACACCTCCCCTGTCATCCGCAGTTGGGTGCACCTTGCAGGGCACCATGCGGACCCGCACGTACCGCGCTTCCTGGCAGAACGCTCGCGTACGTACCGAGCTCTGTCGTGGAAGTCCCTGGACGGAGCGAGCCAGGGTGCGTGAGACTCTCGAGACGGGGGGAAGGTTACCTTGTTGATCTCGAGGTGGATGGGGCCCAGCCGACCGAGTGGTCATGCATGCACATTTGTGCTTCGGCGGATCGTAAATTGGCTCTGTGGCTAACACAGCCAAGGCCGTCGTGCCGCGAAGCGCAGTCGACGGCCGTTCGAGGGTACGAGGCGTTTGCTTTCGAATGCGCAAACTGCTCGGCGTGGTGCTGGTATGAGGGGCCTATCCCGTCGGGCTTCATTAACGGCCACGGATGAGGCTGGCAGTGGCGATTGCTCAGCATCATACACTGTCTCTGTGTATATGTCCGCATCACTGGAGTTGACGGGACCCAGGCCGCCATCTCACATTCATACATCCAATGGCCTGCACAAGTTACAAGCACTTTCAGGGCAGATCACAGTCTTTACAGACCGTCATTTCGAGGACGGGCGATAAAGATGACCTAGATGACGCTTCGAAGCTTGCGAGAGCGTCTGAGCAACTGATCAGTCTTCAGATCTGTGGAGATACGCGAGCGTCTATCGCTATCTCACATCTAGCTTCTCTCTGCCAGTCTTCTCGTCTTGGGATTACTCTGTCAAGGCGATGTGTTGCTGACGAGATTGAAGGTTTTGGGAAATTCGGCACGCTCGGGACTGAAATCCGGTTCATGACCTTCAGATATCTTGACCACGAAGCGAGGACTGGTCTTCCCGCTGCGACTTATGTCAATTAATACTGAACCACATTGGTTTGATTCGACGGCCTGTTCCTGAAGGTTTAAAGCCTTGGCCCTCCCCTGAACAACCCCCCCCCCCCCCAAAAAAAAAAAAAAAAAGGAAAGAGAAGATGGATGCTATGGGAGAAGTAGTATGAGAATAGATGAGGATTCCGAACAAAGCTTGAGCCAAACGCCCTTTTGCCTAGAAAACACCCGTTGACCCGTGCCGCCTCGGTAGGTCACGTTCACCATCTGCCCGACCACAAGGTCAGCATGCTTTTGCAGCCTCGAGTGTGATGCCTCCATGCCAAGAAAATCCTCCCGTCCCAGAACATTGCGGAAATATCAGAATGGGGTGCAAAGACTCACCTTCAATTCACCCAGATGGCTCGTCGTTCGGACATCAATGGATGACATAGCCTCCGACCAGGACAAAGGATACTGCGAGACCCATGCACACCGGCTACTTCATGTAGTTCAGAAGCGAGGCTTTGTGAGTTATCAAACACACTTTTCTTGATGGAACGGACAGCTTGAAGTAAATTCAAATTTCTTAGGTCCCGATTCTGTGGGATCATTGCCTTAAAACGCTTCTGAAGCTTGTCGAGACTTTGCAGTAGCAGAAGCATAGTTCAGCATTGACCTATATCACATGTTTACACTGTCCCAGGGCCCCAAGCCCATCGTCACAGCGAGTCACACTGGTATGTACCGGCGAGCGCATTGCCACAAAGCCTCTGACGACGACAGAAATGTCATATTGTGTCGCTGCAGAATGTAAAAAGACTTGGCCCCCTGATGAACTCGATCAAGCTTGTCTAAGCCCGTTTCTACTACGTCCGTCATCTGCTCAGTCCCTCAATTAATGCCAGCCATCGATCACAGCGCATGACTTGAGGATCGTTCAGCCGCGTATCAAGCGGCTTGCAAGTGCATTGTCTGGAATCTGCCCATTATTGGCGCTCCCCGAATGGTTCTGACCCATGCCAAAGCCGTCGATGGGTAATATGAGCACATCCCCGCACAATGTCGGTCTTTCCAAGTATGAAAAACTCATGATGTCCGTCAAATCTGAGTTCATAGATTGCAAGTAGTCAAATATAACTTTTGTCCACACTGCAGAACCGGTGATGTACGAAATATCGAAGTTGCTAGGCCTGTCTTTTGCCTCGTCGACTCCGTCTTGGGCCATAGGACGCCTCATGGACGTGACCACCTGGGAAATCATGTTGTGGATAACCGGATGCCCAGGTGCAGCAGCAATTGTCGAATGGGCAAACTGCAACGGGTAAGCTTTGTCCTTTTGTGGCGCATGGTCTTGCTGATCGTATATGATGCCGACAACTAAGCAGACACGACTCTGCAGATGGCCTGGAACCCATGTATCAATGGGCTTCAGGGCGACAGTGTCTAGATCGGTATAGATTCCGCCTCCAGCTTCCAGGAGGAGATATCGAAGCAGACTAGACCCCATACCAGCATTGCCCAGTTGCTCGTACGTGTGATAAACATCGGAGGTATTACCGTAGTGTGACTTCACAAAGCTGTTGCTGCTTTTGCCGTCGACTAGAGCGCTGTGGGGTCTCAGCTCGTGCTGTACAGAGACAAAGCCAACTTACTACGTATGTCCTCCGTTGAGGGCCAGCCACGTGCTGATGTGCTCCATCGTCGTCCATCTCACGGAGTCATTCATGCCGTTGGCTTTCGGTAAGCTGATCTGCCAGATATGGGGCGGTATGGAGTGCTCTGATAGTGAAAGAGACCAAGAATATGGACGATGCTTGTAGGCGCATGAGATCGACGGTCCATAAAGCATTTGCTGCAAAGGACTGACCACAAATGGTTGATGTAATACACGATTATTGAGGCAGTGCAGAAAGTAGGTGCTGATGGAGATCAGTAAAACCGCTGCAATGATGACGGGAGCTCGTCGGCTAGATGCCGGACGAGAGAAGCGGCATCCGGCGTTTATCACGGATGCCTGAACCTTCTTTGTGGAGTCCATCGGATCTTGAGTCGTGTGCGACTAAAATGTGGATGACGACGTATTTGGATCGGTGCGTGTAGTAGTGTACTGTAGGTAGTTTGAGCGCGGACTAGATACCGTACCGAACACTCAATATGTGTCAATGTTGTTGTGTTCCGAAATGTCAGACCGGGAAGTCTGCGTGCCTTTTGAGATGTCACTGTGTTGGTGCTGAGCACGACAACATGCACGGGTGGAAAGAACCTTTGATGACTTGACGAGGAGTCTGCAGCTGCCCTGATGGATTGAAATGCAATGGTCTTGTGGTCGTTTGCACTCTTCGAAAACAACATGTCTTGGTACGTTAGATACTTTCTGGGTCCGCCCGAACAGCGCCGAAATCAGCTGCTCTCGGCTTGACCAGAGCGATTGTACAATCGCTCAGAATGACTGCACAAGCGATTCGCTTCCGGTCAACAAAATAATCTGTTAAGCAGTTTTGTGTGCACTCTCCATCCAATGAATGTAGACAAGCGGTAGATCTATATCCAGCGCCCAGCTTACAAAAGGTAGCTACTGGGGTTTTCCATAGCATGGACGATCACCAGAACTGGTCCCTGGCTAGAGGGAGATGTGGATCGCGCAGGCAGGTAAAATGGAGAGGAAGCCCTGGTCTTGATCGTGCTGCTGGGGACGCTTCTAGGATCTGACTCCTTCATGCGTCACCAAGTCATATTCTACTCGTCCGGGCAAGCTTGGTTCCACGCGATTGGGACAATGATCACGCAGAAGAAAATACCGGGGTTTTGAGCCGGAGACGCATTTAATTGTGCGTCTTTACTGATGTTCGATACTCGTGCCCAGATCTGGACGAAGCCAGCGCATAGGATTATTTGATCAGTACGATTGGCCATCAGAATTCTCGAGCATTCAAGATTTCTTCAATGACTGGATCAAAGGATGTCTGCCATGATTGGATTAAGTCAAGCCCAAGATAATTGCAATAAGCATTCACCACTTCAAGCCACGCACTAGCATTGAGCCACGGAGACCAGAATCACGCCATGTCAGCAATCCCCGGTGAACTTACGCCCTCCCAGAGACCCTCCAGCTCCATCTACTTGCCGCCGGAGATCCTTGCCATGGTAATGGCATACTGCGATGACAAGAGTCTCCGATTACTAGCGCAGTGCAGCAAGCTTTTTCGGGTTATCTGTACGCCACTGCTTTACCAGCGAGACTTACAATCGCCCGTTCCTCGTTGTGTTGCCTGGGCGATTTCCGAGTGCGGGGACGACTCCGTTTCACTATGTGTACTTCAAAGAGCTCAGCAGTTGGGGGCGGATTTTCAAAGGAGACTGCCGTACGATTGCTTCCTCGGTCATTGCGGTACTGATGTCTTTGAATCCCAACGGGACTGCTCATTCCGAAGTACAGAGCTGCTGTCAGCTTTTCAGCTTGCTCTTCTGTTAGGCCGCGACAAGCTTGTTGCTTATCTTTTGCAAAACGGATTTCGCAGCCAGGAAGTAACTTTCGACGACAAAGTTCGGTCTTTACTTCCGTTCAAAGCGCCTTATGCTTCTCTTTGGGAACTGGACACCTCCATTGCCCCGCTCTCTGCATCGGACTCGCCTTTTCAACCAGCCTTCGAGCCATTTATTCAGTGGGATGAGTTCGAGCCAACCTCTGCGAGGCTTGAAACACTTTCTTTCGCGCCCTGGTTTCCAATGTCGCAAGAGGAAATTCTACAGTATGTGTACGAGTGTGGAGTCAGTAGCTTCACTATGGGTCCGGAAGTCGAATCCAAGCGAGAGAGAATGTTTGTTGTTGAAGCGAAATCTTTCAGACCCAGATGTAACGTGTGGTAGGAAGTCTGCTATCAGAAATTTGCAAATGTCCTCGGATCGGATCAAGGACCACAAAGAAAGCACGACTGTTGCAAAGATTGACGCGAGAGCCTTGTTGTAAACCTTGATAATTTATTCTTCTCATTCAAAACCTCAAACGTAAACACTGCTGAATGTGATTCTGCTATCAAGCAAGAGCTATCATGAAACATCGAGGATGCTTGACCGCGACTATAAGGGGGATGCTGTCGCCAACCTGGAAGACGCAAACTATAGAACGGATATTGTCGCGAGTTGTGGCACGCAGCAATAGCCTTACGGAGTGTAGTAAAGTGGCTTAATCTATCAAAGTGGAATAGACAAAAGAAAAGGTCTATATAATATGTAGGAGTCCGCGAAAAGGCCTTCACCTTCTTCAACTCTCTGATCTCTTTCCGCACAGACATATAAGCCGTTTTTGATGCTTACACAGTGTTGATCAAACCCTGGCTTACAGATATGTATACATGCCAAACATAATACACGTCATTCGACGACCGACCCACACACTTGGGCACGCTCTCCATCTCCAATAACGGAGCTTAGGTAATCCAGAGCCGGCTTTCCAATCCACTTAGAATCCCTGCTGGTGATGACACCGAAGCCAATGTTTGCTCCAAACCATGGATGGAGCACCCCTGTCAACCTAAGGTTTCTCTGGGCTAAGTACTCCCGTACTAAGCCAGACAGGCTGGTCAGCTAGATCTAGTTGATCTCAACCTTGATATTGACCTCACGATCGAGGCAGTCATGAGGGATTCAGCCAATCTAGGGAGCATTACAAGCCTACCCGCAGCATTAGCTTCTGAATCCCGACAAGCACGACAAAGCAACTCAACAAAAAGTTGTCCAGATCAACAACCATATAACTACGGATCTGATGGCTCTGATACCAGCCTGGATATCTCTGCAGCT